GTACACCAGCCTGGACAACAAACCAAGACGCTGTCTCTACAAAAAACTTTTTTTTGCTGCATAATGCTCTCAATTAACCTGACAAAATGTCATATACAGGGTTACCACATCTTTTTTATCACTGAATTTTGAAAACAAAAATTGTTCTATTGAGGCATCTGTATTTGGATATTAGAGGTAAAGAGCACCCTTATAGTCCAAAAAACATAATGAAGATACCTATATTTACAAATTCTTCTATTTCTACCTGTCATCTATCAACTGTATTATGAACCTGAAAGCCTGAGAATAGAATTTATCAAGATATTCATGTTTATGCTTTTTTTTATCTACTGTTCTTTTTTTTTTTTTTTTTTTTTTTTTTTTTTTTAATGAGACGGATTCTCACTCTGTAGCCAGGCTGGAGTACGGTGGCGCGATCTTGGCTCACTACAACCTCCGCCTCCCGGGTTCAAGTGATTCTCCTGCCTCAGCTTCCTGAGTAGCTGGAACTACAGGCACATGCCACCACGTCCAGCTAATTTTTGTATTTTTAGTAGAGACGGGGTTTCGCCATGTTGGCCACGATGGTCTCATCTCCTGACCTCGTGATCCACCCACCTCAGCCTCCCAAAGTGCTGGGATTACGGGCTGAGCCACCGCGCCTGGCCATCTGCTGATATTTCTAAGCATGAAGTGACAATTTTTTTTTTTTTGAGACAGAGTCTTGCTGTGTTGGCCAGGCTGGAGTGCAGTGGTGTGATCCTGGCTCACTGCAACCTTCACCTCCTGGGTTCAAGCAGTTCTCCTGCGTCAACCTCCCAAGTAGCTAGGATTACAAAGGTGCACCACCACGCCTGGCTGTTTTGTATTTTTAGCAGAGACACGGTTTCATCATGTGGGCCAGGCTGGTTTCAAACTCCTGACCTCAAGTGATCCGCCCGCCTTGGCCTCCCAAAGTACTGGGATTACAGGCGTGAGCCATCGCATCCGGCCGAAGTGACAATATTTATATTCAGTAAGTTTAACTCTAAAAGCTTACATTTATGCTTAGTCATTTTTGATGATTAGATGAAGAGACAAATAAATGGTCCCAGTTTAACTACTGATATACTTAACAAACCTTGACGGACCTAAGGGCATTATGCTGAGTAAAGAAAATCATTTCCGAAGGTCACATATCATATGATAATCTCACAATAACAAAATTACAGAGATGGAGAACAGATTAGCTGTTGTCAGGAGTTAGAGATGGTGGCAGAAGAGGGGCAGGAGAGAGATCTTGTAGTGATGAAACAGTTCTGCACAGTAATTATGGTAGTAGGTACATTTATAGACACGTGATAGAATGGCATGGAACTATGCACACACATTGTACCAATTTCAATTTCTGGGTTTTTATACTGTATTACAGTTACGTAAGATGTAACCACTGGGGCAGTATGCGTAAATATACAATGACCTCTCTACTTTCTTTACAACTTCCTGAGAGTCTATTATTAATTCAAAATAAAAACCTTTAAAAAAATTGCTTCATGCATATCTAATTTCCTGTGCTACTTAAAAATGAACCCAAAAATAGAAACTGTAGGAAATTCATCTGAGTGCAGCTTATGCAAGAAGGGGCAGGATAACTCCATTCTGGACCTATGCTCAAAGACATGCCCCTTTACCTTACAACAAAACTGGCAAACGGGCATGTGTTTTAAGAATAAAAAGCTTTTAAGGTATCATGCACTGTTTTTTATGGTTCATTTGCTTAAATGACTTTTTGGTTTGCTAAAAAACTACCAATCACATCAGATTAAAAGTACTCTTACTGTAAAAATAAAAAGTGATGTGACCAACACCTTTTAGCTCTGTAATGTATTACTCTTCACGAGAGCAGCGAAGGAAAACATGGTGATTCAATAACTCCAAACAACAAGCAGAAAAGAGTGTTGAACAGGCTGGGCGTGGTGGCTCACGCCTGTAATCCTAGCACTTTGGGAGGCCGAGGCAGGCAGATCACGAGGTCAGGAGATTGAGACCATCCTGGCTAACATGGTGAAACCCCGTCTCTACTAAAACTACACAAAATGAGCTGGGCATAGTGGCGGGCGCCTGTAGTCCCAGCTACTTGGGAGGCTGAGGAGGGAGAATGGCAGGAACCCAGGAGGGAGAGCTTGCAGTAAGCCAAATGGCACCACTGCACTCCAGCCTAGGTGACAGAGCGAGACTCCCTCCGTCTCAAAAAAAAAAAAAAAAAGTGTGTTGAGTGTTGAACAATTAAATTGTTTATATGTAATAACCAGATATATATGCCTGGCATAAAATGAGCCCTGTGTGAGGTTGCTGGATGTAGAGTCCTAGGCCTGACGCATCCAAATAATGTCTATGATCAAGAAGTCGATGATGTGCTCTCTGTAACACATGAGCATTAAAAGTTTTCATACTCCAAAAACTCTTCCTTTCTAAGTTACTAACACTTTCAAGGGCATTTCAAACAAAATTAGCTGTGGAAAACAGATCTGTTAAATCCTATGGCTAAGAAATATCTTCCTACCCCACGTATTATTCATTACCAAGGTGTCAATTCCATTTCCAATACAAAAGTCTCAAGTAGTGGAGCCCTTTCCACTCCAGCTGGGAGAGCCATCCTCAACAAGATAAGGGTAAAACCTGTGAGCACAAGGCTTCCATCTGCAATTCTTGTCTGCAGGGAAGCTCCCCAAAGAGGGAAACCATGGCTTATTCCTTAGGGTAAAACAACGTCATTCATTTCTTGCATTTAACAAGCAATGCTGGAGGAACATAAAACAAAGGTTAGCAATCACTTTTTTCATGCTACTTAGACCTGTAACACATTTTTCCTCTGGTGCACACTATCCAAAACCTAGTCATTTCCCTTACTCCTAGAAGGAATTCAGACAACTTTCTGGCCAGGTGCAGTGGCTCACGCCTCTAATCCCAGCAATTTGGGAGGCCGAGGCAGGCAGATCACTTTGAGGTCAGGAGACCAGCCGGGCCAACATGGTGAAACCCCGTCTCTACTAAAAATACAAAAATTAGTTGCGCATGCATGGTAGCACACACTTGTAATCCCAGCTACTCGGGAGGCTGAGGTGGGAGAATCACTTGAACTCAGGAGGCGGAAGTTGAAGTGAGCCAAGATTGCACCACTGCACACCAGCCTGGGCAACAGAGTAAGACTGTATCTCAAAGAAAAAAAAAAAAAAAAAAAGACTTTCTAATCATACTGGAAATGTGTAACAAGGGCCAGGTACTGTATATTACACTTAATAAATCAAAACAACAGGCCCTCTAAGACATAAATGGTGCTTCACTGTATGATTATCTGCCTAACCCATCACAGGAACTCAATTCAGTATTAAACTAGTTTTAGATCAAGACACTAGAACTCATGTTTAGCAGTTATTAAATTACAATTACTAAGAAAAAAACTTCATTAGGTAAACTCCTTTACTCCAAAAAGTTTCTCAAAATACATAAACACTAATATAAAAACAATTATTAAAACAAGTTTGCCTGAATCTCAGGATTTCAGAAACATGAAAGTACTCATCTCTCACCTCTCCCACCCACTTAAAATGACAAAAACAGACCATTATAGCTAAATCAAAGGAAATGTTTAAAGAGAAACAAACCCAAAGAGTACACCAATTCTTGACCCAATTCTCTGTGCTCTGTCTTATGTAACATTACACTATGAATAACAATCCCATCATCCACAACAGATTTCTTTTTTTCTTTTTTTTTGAAACGGTTTTGTTCTCATTGCTCAGGCTGGAGTGCAATGGCGTGATCTCGACTCACTGCAACCTCTGCCACCCAGGTTCAAGCGACTCTCCTGTCTCAGCCTCCCAAGTAGCTGGAATTACAGGCATACATCACCACGCCTGGCTAATTTTGTACTTTTAGTAGAGACGGGGTTTCACCATCTTGGTCAGGCTGGCCTCCAACTCCTGACCTCAGGGGATCCACCCGCCTCGGCCTCCCAAAGTGCCAGGACAACAGGCGTGAGCCACCGCACTCGGCCCCACAACACAGTTCTAAACACTGGACTCTCATATCTACAAAAACTCAATACGTGTTTAAAAAGAAAAAGAAAAATTAGGAAAGGGCAATAACACTTTAGTGTATCTATCATCAACTACTGCTTAACAGCATACACGACTTTTGATGAACAGTCGTACTATGTAACACTGTTATAAAAGGCAGATTACTTAATACTTAAAAATGGTTAACCTTAGGGAGGAGGAAAATACACTGACACACAGAAAATATTTCAAACACTTCTTTTTGCTGTTGATAAGGAGTTCCAAAAGTAGTTTTTCTAAGCCATTTCCAAATAAAAGTAGCTTGGGGGTAAACGATTGTCTACTGAAATATTACTGTTATTATTTATTTAATAATGTCCTGAGAAGCTTGCAATTATCTCATTAAATCAAAAAATTAATATCTACGGCCAACATTGTTTCCTCATATTCTTGATGTGAAAATCTGAGCACTCCTCTTAATAAGGAGTTACAAATACAAAACAAACAGCTCAACTGAACTGACTCTTATCTCTCTGGAAACACAAACACAAGACCTCATAAAATGGGTTTCTACAGGCCATAATTACTACAACTTACTTCTCCAATTTTCCCCTCCACAGTTAACTAAACAGCTCAAAAACTATCAGTAACAACAGTCGCCATCATATGGTTAGGAATGTGACATTTCTTAACCACTACTAATAAATAGGAAAAAAAATTTTGCCTATGAATAGATCTCAAGTTTCCTGCACTTGCAAGAAACTAATTAAAAGGCAGCCGTGCACAATCTACAAAAAGAGCCATGAAGACATTTTAAGTTAACATTTTAAGTAACATTTTAAGTTACAGGAAACAAACCTGCTCCTCTAATTCAGCAAGATACAACTGACTTCCCTTTACATACCCTAAAAAAAAGCCTTACACGAGAAATTTAAACATGGAAGCAGAAACACACTAAGAAAAAGACATGTCAAACCCCACCTGTATATCTGTTTTCAACCATTTGGAGTCAAGGCGAGCCTGGGCAGCCAAACAGAAAGAGTCAGAGGGCATCTTTTCTCCAGTTTCCTCCAGTTCTCAGGCCTGCAAGTAAACATACATGTTGAAGACCTAACGCTTTTTAATAGTTTACAAAGACACTCCCGAAAGGTTTAACGCAGAAAAAAAAAGAGAGAGAGAGAGAGAAAACATAAAGGGGGAAGAGAAGAGCTGGGGGAGGAGAGTGAAGGGGAGAGAGGGAAAGAGGGAAGAGATGGAGGGGAGGGAGGTGGGGAAGGGAAAGCCTCCTTCCAAGGTAGGCAGGGTGTGCCGAGTTTCTGCACTACGCTGGCGAGACCTTGAGAATGGACGGTCAGAGGAGGCCAAGTCACAATGTCATCCCCCTGCCCTCAAATCCAAAAGGCACACACACCCGACAGGAGGCCCATCGTTTT